TCCTCTCTCGGCCACCTCCCTTCCTGAGTCCTCTGCTGCTGCAGGCCTGGCCTGCCGGGTGCCCTCACCACATGCACCAGCGCCCAACGCGGCCTGACTCTGGGCTGGGCAAAAGCCTTCTGTACAGGACGGGACACCGAGTGCTTTTGGCTTTCGGGACACGCAGTCCCCGGCGCAGCCACTCAGCTCTGCCACTGCAGCACGGCGGCCGCCAGGGCCAGCCTGGGAGTGAAGGCCGTGGCCACTGCCAGTGACACTCTGCTGCCAAGAACTGTCACGGCCGGGATTCCGACGTGGCTCACGTGGCTGCTTGTGCCCGTCCGAAGCCTGATCCCCAGCAACCTCCAAGTGAACAGCGAGGGAGTCCCGCTGGCATCAAAAGACCGGGCACCCTGAGCCCCACCTGGTCCACATGAGGTGCTTGACAAAGGTCTGGGAGCCCCATGTGAGGACCTGCAGGAGCAGACCGCACGCTTTACAAGCCCTGGGGCGAACCCCAGTGCCCAGGTGAGCTTGCTTGGCACCCAGAAGCAGCACCAACAGCAACCCGGGACACAGTGGGCATCCCATCTCTCTCACGGGCCCGGCTGCTGCCCCGTGCTTTCTAAGGGCTTCACCCTGCAATTCTCGATGTAGCCCGGGAGAAACGCACACATCACTTTACAGACAGGAATGCTGAGGCCGCACGCCCCCCGCTGGCATGCGATGGAGCTGGGTGTAAACCCGGGCGGGCCGGCTCCCGAGGCCTCTCCACTGGGACACCGAGGCTACAGCGGTCACAGTGCCTGAGCGGCATCCTGGGAGGCAGCCCGGGCAGGACAGAATGGGGAGCTTCCGTCCCCAGCATCCTCAGCCTCCGCCTGGATCCTGTTGACTTGCAACAAGAGACACCGCAATCCCACTGACCCCCTCTTCATTTTTATAGGATCTTGCTGTCACCCAGGCATGCAGTGGCACGATCACAGCTCACTGCAGCCTTGGCCTCCCAGCCTCAAGCCATCCTCCTGCCTCAGCCTCCTGAATAGCTGGAAACAGAGGTGCAGGCCATTACGTCTAGCTACTTGTTCTAATTTATTTTTAAGCAGAGACAGGGGTCTTGCTATGTTTCGCCAAGCCGGTCTCAAACCCCTGGAGTCAAGTGATCCTCCTGCCTCAGCCTCCCAAATGCTGGGATTACAGGTGTGAGCCACCACGCCTGGCCTCCCTTTTACCCAGACCACCACGGCTACAGGGGAGGCCCTGGTGACAGCGCTGACTCCCTGCCCGGCCGCCCTGTGACCACGCTATACACTGCTCCAGGCATGCGGGGCCTCTCGGGGGCCCTGCCCTCTCCTGCCCACCGCCCACAGGTCTCCCTCAGATGCCACCTTCTTGGCAAGGCCTTCCCAGCCACCCCATTCTGCCTTGCCTTTCCTCCCTGGCACCGCCGCCCTCGTCCACCTGATGTTCGCCAGGATCTGTCGAGCGCCGAGCTCTTCCGGGCACAGGGGATGCCAGGGGAGTGGCACAGACGGTCCTGGCCCTCGCAGAGCTCTGGCTCAGGAGGAGACCATCAGAAAACACGTCAGCGGAGCCATATGTTTCAGGTGGTGACACAAACAGGGAAGAGGAACCTCGAGGGCAGGGGGCGGAGGAAGGAGGCTGCCGTGTGACGCCGGCAGGGCCAGGCCTCATGGAGGGAGATGCTCCCACGACACTAGGAGAGAGCTGAGGGCGCAGACGACGCAGGCAGGAGAAGGGGCACTCCAGGCAGGGGCACGGCCGTGCAAAGGCCCAGGGGCAGGACCGCGCCCCGAGAGCAGGGTCCACAGGCCTGCGGCAGAGTGCGGAGGGGAGAGCAGGGAGGGCCGGGGCGGGCTGTGCAGGGCCTGATGGGTTTCACGGAGGACTTGCTCTCTGACCCTGAGGGAGGTGGGAGCCATGGGGGGCTGCAGGCAGAGGAGGGGCGGGACTTGGGCCACCAGTTTTTAACAGGATCCTGGGGGCAGAGGAAGAGCAGGGATGCCGGGCCTGGCTTGGGGGCAGAGGAAGACCGAGCTGGGCTGGAGGCAGGCAGAGGATGGGGAAGGAGCCAGTTAGTTCTGGGCCGATGCTGAAGGTGAAGCTGACACTACCTGCTGCCAGATCAGCTGTGGGAGTGGGGCAGGGCCAGGGACGGAGCTGACTGTTCCAGGACATCACAGAAACAGGACAGCCTGTGAGAGGCTAAGATGCACCCAGGCCACAGCTCAGGCCAAACTCCACGACAGGCCATCGGCCCCCACAACCTTCCCAAGGCCCCACAGCCACGGCCCACGGAGATGCCATCCGGGCCAGGCCCCGGGAGCCAGGAGCCCAGGAAATTAGAGGAACCAGATTCGAAACCCCAGCAAGACACTACTTCCCCTCCCATCAGACGGGCCGAAATCGCCAAGGACGAAGACATCGGGAGCTGGCAGCGCCATGGGAAACGGGCAGCCTCCCTCCACCCCTTCCCGACAAGGCTCCCGCTGCACTGAGCTTTCTGGAAGGTGCCAGCATCGCTTCTAACAGTGAGAGGCGACTCCAGGAACCACCAGCTTGGGCCTCGGCAGGGGCCTGGAGGCATGACAGTGGAGAGGCCCAAAGCGGGCAGCCAAGTGGCACGAGTCACCAAGCATCAGCACCAACTCACCCCAGGCTCGGACAGCCCCGGGCAGACACAGTCATCACCCCATTTTACAGACAGGACACTGAGGCCCAGGGAGGTGATGGCCACACAGCAACTGAGGCACAGAGCTGGGAAGGGGACACCAGCAGGTCCAACTCTGGCCTTCCCCTTTTTCTTTTCTCGCTCTGTCACCCAGGCTGGAGTGCAGTGGCACAATCTCAGCTCGCTGCAGCCTCCGCCTCCCGGTTCAAGAGATTCTCCTGCCTCAGCCTCCCGAGGAGCTGGGATTACAGGTGCTCACCACCACAGCCAGCTAATTTTTTGTATCTTTAGCAGAGACGAGGTTTCACCACGTTGGCGAGGCTGGTCTTGAACTCCTGACCTCATGATCCACCTGCCTCAGCCTCCCAAAGTCCCAGGATTGCAGGTGTGAGGCACCAAGCCCAGCTTTTGGGCTTCCCCCTAACCACTGCTCAGGGCTCGTCCTCTCTATAAACCAATACGGACACAGGGTAGGGAGAGTCCAGATGACCACAGATAAAAAGCAAGCAGTCCGCAGGTCATCACCGTGTGGCATTTCTCACCAGGGCGCTCCTGCCCCCAGGGGACACTGAACTGTGTCTGGGGTTACTTGTGGTTGTCACAACTGGGGGGGGGTGCCCCTGGTGTGGAGTGGGCAGAAGCCAGGGACACTGCCCAGCACCCCTAAATAATTTCCTGGCTCAAAATGCCAAAGATGCCAAGGCAGAGAAACCCCAGCAAGGCATCAAACCATCTCGGTGAAGAATAAGCGGGCGCCTTTATGCACTCCCGTCTCTGCCGCCCAGCCGGGCATAGCCTAAACTCACCAGCGCTGACGTCGGGAGGGGATGGGGCTGGAGGAGTGAGGCCACTCTGGATTTTAACATCTTAGAGGCATTACATGGCCAGCTGGGGTCAGACTTCTGAGGATTTCAGGGACTGGCAGGGAATGCTGGCCCCTGACCTTCCAGCCCTCCCAACCCACGCCCCCCCAAACCCCCACCTCACACCCGCCACCACCCCCGCGCACAGCCCCAGCCCGGCTGGAGCCTGTGACTTTATCTGTCCCCAGCGCTCCCAGAGCCCCTGATAAGACCGCGGGTCTTGGTGTGGTTTTCTTGCGGTCAGCGAGTCCCGGGCTACTTTGTTTCTGACCAACTCCGGTCAGAGGGCTGACGGCGGAAGTCAGGGGGCCGGAGAAAGGAACCCTGGCTGGGCCGCGCTGCCCTCCCCGGCCTGGGCTCCTCCACCACGTCTCGTCCTGGTCAGGCCAGGCCACCGACTGCCCGCAAAGAAAAGGGCGAGGCCACTGACTCGGGAGAAGGAACCGGGTCACCTACCAAGCGGTTCCAGATGGCCGCTGGGAGGGAAGCCACGAGTGTCTTTCAAGGTTGGAGGAGGGGATACTTGATGCCTTCCACACACACACTCTCTCTCTCCAGACATTTCCCCCAACTCCCAGGCAGCACGCATCGCCCGCCTGCCTGCCAACCAAGGAAGCTTCGGGAGGCTGGGGGGGAGGAGGAGGACGGATGCCCGTGTGGGTGTCTACAGAGACGCCGCTGCCGGCTGCCTGGGAGGAGCAGAGGATTTTGCGAATCCGGAAACTTCCGATCTGGGAGCTTGTGACCTCGACTGAGAAGGAACCGTTCCCTTCCTCTGCACTCTGCACACCGTCCCCACAGAAGGGCAGGCCCAGCCGCCCGCACCCACCCGGCTGGAGGGCCGGGAAGCAGCCAAAGGAGGCACGAGACAGCCGTGCCCCCCGCCCAGCCCGCGGCCCCACCGGGTGTCCTGGGAGAAGGCTTGGGGAGAAGGAGAAGGGATGACAGGGCACCCCCGTGTGCACAGCCGCGGCAGTGGAGGCATCTTGAAATGTCACCCGTATCTTCCCCTCATTTTAGCAGGGAGGTAAACTGAGGCCCAGGAGGGTGAGGAAAGGTCGGCGCACCCGGACCCAGGTCTGGAATTTGCAGAGAGGGAGGTGACATCAGGAGGTGGACACGCAGGGCCTCAGAGACCCCAGACATCCTCCACCCCGGCAGGCGCCACCCACAGGCCGGACAGCCCCGGGGAGCGGGTCCGGGCAGGGGCCGGCAGAACCGGGACCCCGGCGGCGCCCAGGCCGAGCCGCCCCCGGCCCGGGACTGGGGGGAGGTCGTCCCCCGCGGGCCTCCCGCTCCGCGGCGCGGCCCCAGCCCGTCCTCCCCGGGGCTCCAGGCGGCTGCCCCGCCCCAGGCTCCCGGAACCCGCGGCGCCCCCACAGCCCCCGCCCCGGCCCCGCAGCCCCGCGACCCTCTTCGCTCGGACGCGCCCAGCGGGCCGCAGCGCCCGGAGGCCGGGCCGTTACCTGCCGCAGCCCCGCTCTCCGCCGCCCACGCCGCCTCCGAGGGCACGGCCCCCGCCTCGGCGCTCTCCGCCTCGTCCGGCACCTCCAGCTCCATGGCCGCGCGCGGACGGCGGCGGGGGCGCCCGAGGGGGACCCGAGCCGCGGCCGCCGCCGCCGAACAACAAGCTCCGCCGGCCGAGGGAGGGCGCGCCTGGCCGGCGCGGGGCGGGCGGGGCGGGGCCTGCGTGCGTGCGACGCCGCGCACCACGCGCAGCCAATCGGGGCTCGGGGGCGGGGCTTGTGTGCCACCCGCGGCCGGGAGCGCATCGAGCGCCCCCGCGCGCCCAGGGGTGGGAGGACAGCGCCAGGCTCACCGTTCCAGCGTGTTAGGTCAGAAAGATTGACAGGCACGACACGTATCAATAACGTTGCTGGGCACAACACATGCCAGTAACATGGACCTATACAGCACATGCCAATAACATGGATCCGGTCAGGCGCGGTGGCTCATGCCTGTAGTCCCAGCACTTTGGGCGGCCGAGGTAGGCGGATCACCTGAGGTCAGGAGGTCGAGACTAGCATGGCCAAGACGGCGAAACCCCGTCTCTACTAAAAATACAAAAAAAATTAGCCGGGTAGGGTGGCATGCGCCTGTAATCCCAGCTACTCGGGAGGCTGAGGCTGGAGAATCGCTTGAACCCAAAAGCGGAGGTTGCAGCGAGCCGAGATTGTGCCATTGTACTGCAGCCTTGGTGACAAGAGCAAGACTCCGTCTCAAAAATCAAAAACAAAAGCGAAAAACAAAACTAACCCACATGGGTCTACAAAGCACATGCCAACAACAAATCCACACACTATATGTTATTAACACAAATCTACACAATACGTACCCAAGACATATCAGTAACAGTGACATTACACAGCACATGCAAATAACACTGATCTGCACAACACACATTAACATTTATCTACACAAAACATATCAGTGACACCTGCGACTTCCACCTTCTGGGTTCCAGCAATTATCCTGCCTCAGCCTCCTGAATAGCTGGGACAACAGGCACCTGCCACCACGCCCGGCTAATTTTTGTATTTTTAATAGAGACGAGGTTTCACCATGTTGGCCAGGCCGGTCTTGAACTCCTGATGTCAAGTGATCCGCCCGCCTCTCCCAAAGTGCTGGGATTACAGACGTGAGCCACCACACCCGGCCATATTGATGTTCCTTCTATAAGCACATAATAAGGTTTATGTTGTTTATGTGAGTATATATAATAATGTTTATTTTATTTACATAAATATAAATCATAATTATTATATTATCTATGCATATAAATAACCCTTAGGCTGGGCACGGTGGCTCCCACCTGTAATTCCAGCACTTTGGGAAGCCAAGGGAGAAGGATTGCTTGAGCTCAGGAGCTCTAGACCAGCCTGGGCAACACAGTGAGACCCCTCATCTCTACAAAAAACAAATACATTTGTTTGAGATGGAGTCTTGCTCTTGATACCCAGGCTGGAGTGCAGTGGCACTATCTCAGCTCGCCACAACCTCTACCTCCTGGGTTCAAGTGTTTCTCCTGCCTCAGCATCCCAAGTAGCTGGGATTACAGGCATGCACCACCATGCTGGGATATTTTTGTATTTTTAGTAGACACCGGGTTTCTCCATGTTGGTCAGGCTGGTCTCGAACTCCTGACCTCAGGTGGTCTGCCCACTGCAGCCTCCCAAAGTGCTGGAATTACAGGCGTGAGCCACCGTACTGGTTCAAATTTTTTTTTTTTTTTTTTTAGTTTGCCAGCTACTTAGGAGGCTGAGATGGGAGGATTGCTTGAGGAGCCTGAAGCTGCAGTGAGCTCTGATCGTGACATGGTACTCCAGTCTGAGCAGCAGAGCAAGACCCCATCTCTGAAGCCGTAAGTAGATAAGTAAACGTCGGTATTAGTAGTTTTTTTGATTCCTTTTTTTTTTTTTTTTCTTTTTTTTTTGAGAAGGAGTCTTGCTCTGTCGCCCAGGCTGGAGTGCAGTGGCATGATCTCAGCTCACTGCCACCTCCACCTCCTGGGTTCAAGTGATTCTCCTGCCTCATCCTCCGGAGTAGCTGGGATTACTGGCACATGCCACCACACCCGGCTAATTTTTGTATTTTTAGTATAGATGGGGTTTCACCGTGTTGACCAGGCTGGTCTCGAACTTCTGACCTCAGGTGATCCTCCCGCCTTGGCCTCCCAAAGTGCTGGGATGAGAAGCGTGAGCCACTGTGCTCAGCCCCCTGTATAACTTTAATTCAAAATAAAAACTTAAGAAAATGAGGGCCAGGGGCCGGGCGCAGTGGCTCGCGCCTGTAATCCAAGCACTTTGGAGGCCAAGGCGGGCGGATCGCCTGAGGTCGGGAGTTCAAGACCAGCCTGACCAACATGGTGACACCCCGTCTTAAAAAAAAAAAAAGAAGAAGAAGAAGAAAGAAAGGAAACTAGGGCCAGGATGGCGTGGCAGGAGGGGAGAGACAAGGGACAGCGAGGAGGGGCTGTGGTCCGGGAGTGGCACCGGCCTTCTGTGCCTTCCCAGCATCTCCCACGACCCTGAAAAACGTCCCCATTTCTCAGGGTGGAAAACCCAGGCTGCCCGGATGGGGTCGGTTGTGTGGTTTCTGGCGCCGCCTGGTGGCTACAGTGGCTACTACCGTCAGCGTAGGTACTGCAGGCTGGAGGGAGTGTCGTCCATTCATTCTAAAAACAGGAACTGAGGCCGGGTGCGGTGACTCACGCCTGTAATCTCAGTAGTCTGGAAGGCCAAGGTGGGTGGATCACCAAGTGCGGAATTTGAGACCCGCCTGGCCAACATGGTGAACCCCCCCCCCACCGTCTCTACTAAAAATACAAAATATTAGCCTGGAGTGGGGGCGGGCGCCTGCAATCCCAGCTACTTAGGAGGCTGAGGCGGGAGACTCACTTGAACCCGGGAGGCGGAGGTTGCAGTGAGCCGAGACTGCACCCCTGCACCCCAGCACGAGTGCTAGTGAGAGACTCCATCTCGAAAACAAACAACAACCACACAAAAAAACATGTATTGGGCACCTACTGTGTGCCAGGCGCTGTGCTAGGCCATAGGACATACCAGGGCTGAGCATGACAAAATCTAGGACCTCAGGAGGTGGCATTCTAATTTATTTATTTATTTTTGAGCCAGCGTCCTGCTCTGTCACCCAAGCTAGAGTGCAATGGCACAAACTTGGCTCACTGTAACCTCTGCCTCCTGGGCTCCTGGGCTCAAGCGATTCTCCCGCCTAAGCCTCCCGACTAGCTGGGATTACAGGCACCCCCTCAGCACGCCCAGCTAATTTTTGTATTTTTAGTAGAGACAGGGTTTCACCATGTTGGCCAGGCTGGTCTCGAACTCCTGACCTCAAGGGATCCTCCCAATCTCCCAAAGTGCTGGGATTGCAGGTGTGAGCCACCACACCCGATCCCTTCTTGTTTTTTAGATGAGGACACCCAGAAGGCAGGGTGATTTGCCCAAAGCCACAGAGCCGGGAAGTGGCAGAAGCTTCTCTGCGCAGCGGTCTGGCCAGTTCTTAGCAGGGAGGCTGACTTCATTCACAGATCTGCAGCGGGGAAGGGAGTGAGCTGAATCACAACCCGATGGGTTGGCATGCCTCGCCGGGGGAGGCTCAGCCAGCACCCAGGCTGGGCAGCCCCAGATGCAAGAAGCGTGGTTCATTCATTGCTGAATGCAGCCAAAAAGGGTTTCCTGAGCACCTCCTACGTATGTGCGGACACCTGTGATCGATGCCCTGGCCTTGGCAGTGAGGGCACAGGCAGGAGCAAGTTCACCTCTGGGCAAGCAGGGGTTAAGGCCAGCTGCTCCCACGTGAGGCCACCTTGCGACAGAGCCACACACCCAGCCCCGCCCCCTCACCCTGGTCGGTCTCCCTGTGTCTGTGGTCGCAGGTTGCACCTGGCAGGGGACCGGCCACAGGAGAGGAAAAGTTGGTAAAGCAGGTGGGGAGGGCCAGAGCGACAAGCCTCGGTTCCATCCTCACCACCTGTGCCAGGCAGGCACCCGGGCCCCTGGCACCTGCCACCTACCCAGAGGCCACCCAGCCTCCCAGACAGGTAAGTCCCCCCGCCAACTCTGCTTTTGACCCGGCATGCCTTGTCGGAGCTGGGCTTCCCCCTCTGAGGGTCCTGGGACCACCCCCTGCCCACCCTGAGCTGTCTCCCCGGCTGGCTCCTCAGAAAGCAGGAAGCTGACACGACTGCGTGGGCATCTGACATAGTTTCGGAGAGATTATCTGACCGGCAGTTACTGCCCCTGGCGGCCTGCCCGGGATGCCGAGCTGGAGACTTAAAAGGGGCATTGTTGCCTGGGTGGTGCCGGGAATGGGGAGGCAGCGAAGGGGCACAGGTGGGTCTCTAATCCCCCAAGCTGAGGAGGGGGAGGGGATACCAGCGCAGACGGGGCCTGGGTTTTCCTCCTGCAGGTGACAGGTGTGACAGGCTGCAACCTCACCCATCCCTCAGCCTCCTGGAACTTTTTTAAAGGCTCCCAAGTTTTCAAACAACTGCATCTCCCACCCTCAACCCCCTCGCCCCGTTCTCACCGCTGGAACCTCTGGGAACTTCGAGGAGAGAAGCTGGGCTGGGATTTCTTTTGCTAATTTTTTTTTTTTTTTTTTTTTTTTTTTTTTGAGACGGAGTTTCGCTCTTGTTACCCAGGCTGGAGTGCAATGGCGCGATCTCGGCTCACCGCAACCTCCGCCTCCTGGGTTCAGGCAATTCTCCTGCCTCAGCCTCCTGAGTAGCTGGGATTACAGGCACGCGCCACCATGCCCAGCTAATTTTTTGTATTTTTAGTAGAGATGGGGTTTCACCATGTTGACCAGGATGGTCTCGATCTCTTGACCTTGTGATCCACCCGCCTCGGCCTCCCAAAGTGCTGGGATTACAGGCTTGAGCCACCGCGCCCGGCTTTTTTTTTTTTTTTTTTTTTTTTTTTGAGATGGTGTTTTGCTCTTATCACCCAGGCTTGAGTTCAGTGGCACAATCTCAGCTCACTGCAACCTCTGCCTCCCGGGTTTAAGCGATTCTCCCTTCTCTGTCTCCTGAGTAGCTGGGATTACAGGCACCCGCCACCACACCCAGCTAATTTTTGTATTTTTAGTAGAGACGGGGTTTCACCATGTTGGCCAGGCTGGTCTCGAACTCCTGA